TGGTGGCGCAGTGGTTGAGAGTCCGCCTGCCGATGCAGGGGACACGGGTTTGTGCCCTGGTCCGGGAAGATCCCACATGCCGCGGAGCGGCTGGGCCTGTGAGCCATGGCCGCTGAGCCTGCGTGGCCGGAGCCTGTGCTCAGCAACGGGAGAGGCCGCGACAGTGAGAGCCCCGTGTACCGCAAAAAACAAAACAAACAAAAAAAAAACTTGAATATAGAGGCATATGATGGTTGAGTTGGGCTGATAGTACGGTAACCAGTAACCACAGGGCGCCAGCAAAGAAAACGTTCAGTTCTTCATTCACAGAAGCCACGGTTCAGGTGCTCACCAGCCACGGCTGACTAGTGGCTTCCTTACTGGACACAGATATAGAGCATTTCCATCCTGATAGAAGGTTCTATTGGACAGCACTGCACTACAGCGCGTGTTACGTGCTTCCCTCACCCACCACCAACGTAGAAGTGACTCAACTTGAAGTTACTTTTGTTTGACTAGTTTGCCTATTAGTTGATCACCATAAAAATTACCATCCTATAAAACTTACTCATCACCAAACTAAGATCAGAGGAGTTTCAGGGAAGAACTCCACATGGACTATTGATTTAAACCGTCAAATCATGGCCTTTCATGGTTCTCTGTTTGACTCTCTACAGATCTTTATAAAGCAGAGACGGGCCTTGATAGACTCTAGGGAATATCTTTTCAGGTGAGCAAAATACCTTACACTAAATGGAAATCAAGTGTAAGGTTAGAACTTCACTTACAATTTGATTTTTTGGTGTTGTCATGAGTCTAGAGCACCACAATTTGTTTTGGTCAAAGTTTACTCCTGTAGGGTAGATATCCATTTAATGATCAACAGAGGTGCTGTATTTTAAAATTACTGTCTCGGGGCTTCCCTAGTGGCTCAGTGGTTAAGAATCTGCCTGCCAATGCAGGGGACATGGGTTCAAGCCCTGGTCTGGGAAGATCCCACATGCGGCAGAGCAACTAAGCCCGTGCGCCACAGCTACTGAGCCTGCGCTCTAGAGCCCGCGAGCCACAACTACTGAAGCCCACGCGCCTAGAGCCCATGCTCCGCAACAAAGAGAAGCCGCAACAAAGAGAAGCCACCACAATGAGAAGCCCGCGCACCACAACGAAGAGTAGCCCCCACTCGCTGCAACTAGAGAAAGCCGGCGCACAGCAACGAAGACCAAACGCTAAAAAAAAAAATTTTTTTAATTTAAAAAATAAATAAATGAATTAAAAAAAAAAGATTGTCTCTATCCTTCTTTAGTTAATATTCAGAATGAAAACCATGCTAAGGGAAACAAGTTTATAGGAGCTCTTTATTCTGGTAGGCAAGGAATACTTTTGTTTTAGCTACTGATTGTAAACTTAAAAAAATCTCTGGCTGTCAAGATACAGTACAAAGTGTATTTAAAACACAAACTGCTTCCTTCGTTCCACTTCTAAGTCTCCTCCAAGCTCAGTTTTGTCATTAAATAAGACGAGCGCCCCTGTGACAGGCTAGGTCCCAGGAAGGGCAGATATTGTTCTTAGCATTCCAGCTCTCTCTGAGAGTGGATCGGAAACCCTCTGTAGTTTCAGGCTCCCAGATTCTTCTGGATCTTACACATCTAGTACTTGAAATGATCTTTGTTTCAAAGCACCAGTGTCATCAAATGCTAATTCTGTGCAGCTGGCCACAGAATTTATCTGGTTCTTAAAAACTGGATACTGAGCTGAATTTTATTTTACTGTTTATCTCAAAATAACCCTTGTGTTGGTTCTCCAAACCTGGTGTTTGAACTCAGGCCCCAGCAGAGCTTTCCTTTCCCTCGGTCCCCCGCTTTTGGCCTGGACACAGAAACTTTTAAGTGGCGCTACGAAGTGAAAATATGACAGTTGAGATCCTAAAAAGACCTATAGCTAACTTCTGTGTAACAATACATCAAATAACCTATTGTTTTCTGTTGAGCTGAAGATTGGGACTGAAAGTGCTATTAGAACTGAGGACAATTATAATGGCTTCCTGCTTAGTTTAGACCTATTACACCATGAATTTTAGAACAGAATATGGAAAAAAATCTAAAACAGGATAAGGAAAGAAGAATGATAATCGCCCCCACCCCGCCCAATAAAGTGAATGGAGGGCAATGGATTCTTTTTAGTTTTAATTTTAGTTAAATAAGAATCCAGGGGAAAATTCTAGCAAATAATACAATTGAGCCACAGAGTGAAACTTGTAAGACTTTAACAAAGAAGAACCAGTGAAAATATTCCATTTAAGATGAGAGTAATTAATATTTATACACTAAAAAGATATCCTTGACAACAGCGTCATTTGGGTTTGAGGTAAGTACAGAGGCATAATCCTCTGAAAGAATATTGCGGACATAAAAAGGCATCAACAGTGTATAGAAAAGGGATGTTCCACTGTGTCCCCCCCTCATGCCCCAAGTCTGCGTTCTCCCCTGCTATTCCTGCCTTCTTTTTCATTTCTTCTCAATGAAACTGCTGAGAAAACAGAAATGGTGACACTGGGTCATATATAAAAATTTCCCAATGAAGACCTTAATAAGTAACTTTAAAACAGGCATTTTAAAGCTCTAGCCGTTATCACAGTACTTGGTGAATATGAACATATTTGCTTCTTTTCCCGTGAATCATCAAAAGTCTTGAAAGCTTCAGAAGGTGGTCTTCCAGGAGTTCAAAGTATTTTACTTATGGAAGAATGGATTTCACTACTAACCTTACCTGTTTCATGTCCTGTTGCCTACTCTACCAATGTAAATTTAGTCTTCATAGATTAAAAAAATTTTTTTCGTAGCAGCAAGTTTTTATCTTGAGGTTTGCTTTCAAGGGAATTTGATGTGCCATCATGAATCAAATTATTTGTTCCCAAAGTAACTTCACTTGCAAAATGTCAGTAAAGTTCATAGCTCTCTATTAAAATTCGAGCCACTCTGTCATGTAAATACAGTTAGATGGTGAAATCTCACCACCTTCATGGCAGTCGTCAAAAACCTTTAAAAAAGAAAAAAGGTTATATTCAAACTGAAGTTTTAAAATTATTACATTATAGGTAATGTCTTAAATATCAACTACAACAAAATTCTAACAAAATATCCAAGATCCAACCATTTATTTAAGGCAATATTAAAAACAAAACTTTCGAAGTGAAAGAGGTTAGGACTGTAAATAAGAACATACTGGAATAGGACCTGCTCTGTGATCATAGAGTGAGTGAGAGACCTTTCACTGTAGCACTAAGCCGACCATATCCACCTACCCACTGGGCAGAAGGCAGGTAACAAGAGTCCAGGAAGGGAGATATATACACACGAATGACTTAATCTTAACTAACCAAATGTTTCATGTTGAGCCACCTTCCTTTTTGTGAAGGGTGCTAAACAGAATTCCCAACAGGTTAGCCTTTTTTCTAGGAGTTGAAACCAGGGCATAGAGAGCTTAGGCATGTAGACAATAAAACACGGACTAACAGCCCAAGAATATAAATGCCACAAGGGCTGGCACGGTGCCTGCAGCACACAGGTGGCTTTCAGAGACTATCTGGGAACAAAAGAATGAAGAGTGTGGGGCGGGCCTCGAGGGAAAGCACATCCCCTCTGGGTGTGAGTCCTGGTTGTTGTGTCTCAGCTGAATGCTTAGGTCGCCCTCAGCCTGAGTTCCCTCACACTTAAAGGGAAGTAACATCACTAGCTCCAAGGGACGTAAGGAGGATTAAGTGAGACCACAGAAATCTTCAAGAACATGTCTGGCCCATAGTAGGTTCTCAACAAATCTCATTTCCCTCCCTACTGAGGTGAAATGATTAGCCCTCATCAAAAATCGTCCATCTGGGGACTTCCCTGGCAGTCCAGTGGTCAAGACTCCACGCTTCCACTGCAGGGGGTGCAGGTTCGACCCCTGGTCAGGGAACTAAGATCCCACATGCCATGCAGTGCAGCCAAAAAGAAAAAAAATGTCCATTTTGGGGCCAAGAGCAGAAAACAAATTTCCTTAACATGGTTATTCTAAGAAAATACAAGGTGATGATTTGTTCGTTAAAGCTCTGTCATCAAGGTTACATGGAGGCTTCCACAGTTCTTGGTCAACCCTGAGTTTAAGAAAACTAGGGTGTGCTTGATATACATTATGTGGCATCTGCACTCGGTGGCAGTTAAGTGTAAAGGGAAGCCATTGTAACTCACCGGGCAGAGTCCGCAGGGGGCCCGGACCAATCCCGTGGGCGGGATGATCGGATTGACTGCCCTGTACAGTTTCATGTGTCCGTCCACACTGCCTACGGTGCCTTCTTTTGCAGCGATGATAGTCATCTCCACTTTCCCATCATAAATGAGTGTATTTAAGATGGTCTCAATGTCCTCCATGGACAACTCTACCTACAAAAGGGATACGTTAGAAAGGACCCAAAAAGGACAAGGAGACATCATTTTGGAGGGTGTTAAAAAACATAAAAGGCCACAATTCCTTGGTGAAATGGGGAAGGATTATGCTGGAGAGTAAATGGAGGCATAAAGAGGCTGAACAATGGCCGAAGTGAGCACAGACCCTCAAATGCCAGGGGCAGGGCTCTGAGCTCGCACTGAGCTTGACACTTGCTGATGGCTTCACCCTCCCA